CGGCGGCGGCCGCCGCGGAGGTACCAGGGGTCGTGCGGGGAGTCCGGGGAGGCGAGGCCGGGCTGGCTGCCGTCTGTCTCCATTCGGACCTCTTCTCCCTGCGAGGAGCGGCGCCGCACTCCCGGGGCAGATGAGCGCTGGAAAAGGGGCCGGACGGACAGGCCATGCTGCCCCCTCCCCCGACCCCTCTCCGCCGGGCGGGGAGGGAGCGAGGGAGGAGGGCCCGGCGGGCACAACCTGCCCGGCTCCTCCCACCCCCGCCGGCCCGCCGGCCGCCCTGCGCATAAAACCCGCCGGCGGCACCGGGCCCGAGTGCTGGGAGCCGCGCCCGCACCGCGCTGGGGGAGAGCGCTCGACCCCGGGCACAGCGGCGGCAGGAGCAGCCTGGGAGCTCGCAGCCGCTTTGTCCCCGGCCGCGCCGCCCGCACCTGCCCCGGGGCGGTGGACAAAGGGCGATGGAGCCAGGCCCGGCCCGGTGCGCTCGGGCTCGCTGCGGCGGACCCCGGAGACCCCGGCCCTGTTCCTCCCGGCGTTTCGCCGCCGCCGAGGGCGCTTCCAGGTCGGGACCAGGACTGCCCTGCTCGCCCCCGGGACCCTGACCGGGCAGCGGGGAGTTGAGGCGCCTTCCCGGAGCCCTGGTACCTCTGTGCCCCCTGGCAGCCCAAGGGGACCCTGCAGGGGTCAGGGACTCCCCGGCCTCGCCGCTTGCTGCCTCGCAAGGCAGTGCCCAGGCTGCAGGACTCGGGGCAGAGCTGCTGCTGGGCACCGCGGAGCCCCGTAGAGCCCCGCAGCACCAGGTATGCACAGCCCAGCCGCTCTCCTCTGCCCGCGGCTCACTGGGAAGGGGGTAGGCTGGTCCACAAGGCACCGCGCAGTTTCTTGCTCATTCAGGCTGACAGACTCGTGCCGAGCTCCATTCGAGTTCCACTGCCACACAAGTTCATTCACATGCTGCTTCTCGAGCAGGTCTGTGCACTCCGCCTCTGCTCTTGGGCAACCTAGCCTGGGTGGCTGGAGGAGCTCAGCGAGGAACAAATGAAATACCTGTAAAGTTGGAGTCAAGAGGAGAGCTGAAACCTTGCCTGACTGCACCAAGCATCTCTCTGGGAGAAGGCACTTGTTTGCATCTGTGGCATCAGAACAGTGCAGTGCTAAAAACTTCTGGTGACAGTTCTGTGACACCTTCTCATGTCAAGAGGGTATCACTGGATTCCAGGCATATGCCTCTGATTACCAAATACTCCCCACAGGCATCCCTGGCTCTGCTCCTTCCAGCATGGGTCCCCCCTGTGCCCTCTCACTGCCTAAAGCAAGGTATTGACAGCTCAGGTTGGTGCCATCCTCATTTGACCTTTCTTCCCCTTCTCTCATGACTGTTTTTCCACGTCCCAATATGCATCCTTTCCTTCCTGGACAGGAACCACTACACCTTTGTTTTAACAATATTCTGCAATTGTGTTTCTGTTACATGGGCTGCAACGCTGAGTTAAATTCATCCTCTGGCCATTAGCTCTGCTAAACCACCATTCACTCACTCCATTTCCTGAGCTGGTTCAGGAGTCTATCCTGTGTCCTGGCCCCGTGCTTGGGCCCAGCAACACGCTCAACACCAGAAGCTTGGTAGTCACCACTGGGAACTGAGCAATGCAGCATCCCAGCTCCCGCTGCCACCGGTCCAGGCTGAGCTGCTTCTCCAGACAAACCCACTCTTCATTCCACAGGGCTCAAGTCATCACTTTGGGTGGAGGTGCCCTGAGAGGCAGCAGGGCTGTTGCAGCAGGGAAATATAAATAATGACATGCAGAGGTGGTACTGCAGCTGGCTGTGACAGGCAGGAGTGCAGAGCCAGTGGAAGCAGCGGTGCTGAGGCAGCATCCCAGCCATCTCCCCTTACATGTCCTGAGGAACCTGGACAAAGCTGGGCTACCAGAGCCACCACAGCCACCTGCCATACTGCCCAATCTCACTGATGTTCTGCTCCTTCCCAACACCTGCTCTCTCTCATTTGGAGGGCAAATACTTTAAAGGGGGAACTAACTAACAATTTCAAGTTACCTGGCACAGGTTTTGTGTTCCATGATTGCCCAACTTAGGCACACTACTAATGCTAATTAAAAACAAGAAAGAGGGGGAAAAAAACCAAACAAGAGCTCAGTGTTGTACTCACTAAAGGATAATATCTCTTGGTTTGCCACCAGTGCATTACTATAATTTTAAGCATGTTATTTTTAAGACATTACAGGTTGAGCACTCTGAGGGACATTGTTAAAATGCTTTACTGTGTCTTTAATGTTTATTATTTTATTCAGTTTTTCTCCACCAAAATAATATTGGAGGGGAGAACAGGATCAATATGAGTTAACATCTGTGAAGATCAAAGGAAAAAAAATTGAGCCTTCAGGAAGATTTGGATGGAGGATGTGGTTGGACTTGCATCACTGGTAATGACACAGTAACCAACCATGTAACTTATTCTGAGGTTGTTTCCAAATAATACACATGATATTTTGTACTTCCACCTTAGGACCCCAAAGTGCTTTGTAAGTATCAATTCATTTATCTCTATAATGCAAAGGACAGTAGGTCTTGAAAAATCTGCTGATTAGTGACAGTAGGAAGCTTTCCTCACAGAGAAGTAAATATATAAAACATTCCAGACCTTATGATTGGAAAGATGATCTGCCGAATATAAAATAATGCAGCATTGTATTCCTGGGGCTGCAGACAGACAGCTGTAGTGCCTCTGTGGCTGCTGCTGAGAGGTTGCCAAACACCAGCGAGATTAACAAAACTGCTCAGTTTTCTTGCTGCTATTCAGTGTCTCATGTGTGGTAGAGTGACACTATCAAAATCATGTCCACTTCCTGCTGAGGAGGATGATTGGCAAAGCTCTGCCCAGCACCAGTGGCAGACACTGGAGTTATTCATGGTGAGAGGGAGGTTCCAAAATGTGGAGGTTAGGGGAGGGTCAGGGAGAGCAACCGCCTCTTTTCCTCCCTCATCATATAAACCTCAAGGAGAGATTGTCTTGGAGACCTGTCTCTAGCTGGGAGGTTTTGGCAGTCAGGAACTATGAAAAGTTTCACTTTTCATTTAGTTTGGACAGTTAATAAACAAATTTGAACTGGAATTCAAATAACTTTTGTAACACTTGCATTGAGAGGCTGAAGATGCAAACCTCAAAGGTATTAACTGTGGCTCCGTAGGCAGCCTGGCAGCATTGCCTGGCTCTGGCAGTGGCTTCTGTGGTTCTCATGCCTGCTTTAGGAAGGATGCTGACCCTCTGGAAAGGCTGATGGCAAAACCTTGCTAGCCCATGCATGAGGCAGTCAGGGGTGTCTACCTCAAAGAGAACCCACTGCTCCAGCAACCACCTGCCTGGCAGGAGCTGGCTTGGGGCAGGAGTCAGGCACAGAGGCAGAGCAGCTATTTAAGGAAATTAAATTATTTTGATTCCACTCAGGTGGGAGGGAGGCACAGAGTCAGCAATAGGAAGAGATGAATGACTGCAAACGCACCAAGGTTTTGTTTTCATATAAGAAACCTCAGGGAGCAAGATTCATGAGGTAGAAAACTGTTGACATGGTGCAGAACATTGAAGAACAGGATGGGTGGGAATACAGTAGAGGAACAGGGTAGCACGCAAGAGAAACATAGGTGTTAATAAAGAGCAGGAGAAAGTGGGATAGGAAGAGTAAACAGAAACAACTGGGATAACTGGAAAAGGAGTGAGGGAGGAAAGAGGAGGAGACCACCCCAATTACCACAAAGCAGCAAGAGGGATTGGAACCTCACAGGGAAAATAAGGGAAAGAAGTGTGCAGGGGATGAAATATAAAGCATCAAGAGAACTTGCAGTGTAGTAAATTCAGTGTAGGGATTCAGCATAAAATAGCAAAACCAGAGAGGCCTCTGAAGGACAGTAGGAGATTGCAGGCTTCCACCCACTGTCCTAGAAATGATGGCTAAGGGAAAAATCAGAGAGCCCTGCCTGCTATTCTCCCTCTCTACAAACTAAAAACTACTACGTGGCGTCTAGTCTCCATGATCCTATCTAAATCAGTCCAGCAAATGAGGGAGGAAGCCCTGGCTGCTGAGCTCTAACACAAGAGCTGTTCCATGCATGGAGTGTGCCCAGCACCACACCAGCCCAGGTGCCACTTCTCTGCAGTAACCTGCAAAGGATCCCCCCTCCTCAAAAAGGAGATGGAAATATTTTTAATTTCCCATTAATTTATTTTTTTAATACTCCAAAAATTGCATATAAAGTGACAGAAAGCAACAACAGATACAAAAAACAAGACCTCTCTTCTCAAAAGTGCCCTGAGCTCTGCCTTCCCTCTAACCTCTTAGTTACCATTTGTCCCAGCCTTCCATCAGTTACTGCTTTCTGCTCCATCCTTTCCCCTAACCCCTTCCCAGTCTTCATTTCCTATGGAAAAGGGACTTTTCTTAGAACATCCACTGTTAAGAGGCTCTTCCCCAGATGAGAAAGCAGAGCATTGCCTCCCATTCTTCCCCTACTCACCTCAGAGCTTCCCATGGTGGGATACAGAGGGACTCATTTTCCCACCATTATAAAAGAGAGATGCAACCAAAATCCACCAGATGTGCTGGACTCTTTTAAAGAAGCTTGATGAAATTGTTTCTTGTGCTCAGTGAAGGTAAGGCACTAGGTTTAGTTGACACAGAAAGAGATAAATGTTAGCTATCAGGAGGAAACTAGCAACTATAAGATGGGAGACGGCTAAAGATGGGAGAGGGGAGCCAGGAAGGCCATGGAATTCCCATTCATGAGCATATTTAAGAATAAGTTAAACGTCAGTTTGGTAATTACATCCCATTTTGTTCTTGCACATTGCCTGCATAGATGGAGCCTAGAGAAGAGGAATAACAGAGAATTTAAAGACTTTGGTCTGTGGGTTCATATCAGGGCAAGAAAGAGTGCAGCACGGGACAGGGCTGACCAAATACGACCAGGACTGAGATGTCTGGGAAAAAGCTGGGTGAAGAGTGGTAACAGAAAAAGTTCTGTGTCAGGTTTGAGAGTTGCCTTATACAAATACCTTATACAAAAAGGATTTCTGTATTAACATTTTTAAAAAGTATTAAAGTTCTGAATTTAAAATAAAATCCTGTGTCCCAGTGGAAGAGGGGCAGGGTGAGCCCAAAAAACACCACCACAGCCAACACAACATTTCC